TAGGATAGACGTTTATGCAACTGCGGAACCCAGTGGCTCATCCAGTAGGCATGAAGGAGAGCCAAAGAGCAACACACTTCAGCTGTTGCCCTCTTTTCTGTGCCCTGGCACGCTCCCTACACCGAAACCTAGAACAGAGCCTTTTGAAAATTCTTCATCTGGGCTATCCACCAGACATCTTTCATAGCCCTTTTATGTCACCAAATCACCACATGCATTTCCAGCTTTATACTATTCCTACATGCTTCTCTTTCATATGATTCACTGTATAGGTCTTAATAATCTGTTCATTTCTGTTCTTTGTATATAATTTTCTCAGTTGTATGGTGGCTAGTTATATGGAGCTGATCATTTTTTGCGTCAGCCTCTGGAAGAAGAGAGGATGTGGAGAAAAGTAAACCTCCTCAGCTGAGCTGAGGAAGAAAGCTCATATGCTCAAGGAATCATACGGGATACTCTTTAGTTTCTTCTTACCACAATGTAAATCACTTCTTTGGATCTTAGGTGTTTATATGCATTTAGATTTCACAGGCTGTGGTCTGGTGGTGAGTTTTAATCCTGGTTCATTGAACAGTATTTAGTAATACATCCCTCAGCTTTCTAGACTTATTCTTACCTCTTAATGAAATTTGTCTAGTAACACGTCAGTTCAGAAAGTTGTGAAAGTGGATGCCATATATTCAGCTGTTTAGTCATGTTAGGGTTAGTCTATACACTGAACAGGATGTGAACAGAAGGTACTTCCATGCAATTTATAGTGCCTGTGTAGCCTGCAGTTCATCAGGCTGATATTGCCATCATGCTTGTTTCTTTGTGTGCATGTGTTTGTTTAAGTATTGAAAGGTCTTATAATTAAGAGCTGAAGTTTTCCTGTAATCAAATTGAGAACAAAAACCCAACATGCCATCATATCCCTGCCCTGGCAAGGCAATGCCACATCTGTTGCCTGTAAAGAATGGCAGGGTCCAGTTCATAAAGCAGTGCATGAGACTTCTGCAATTAATTCTGTAGAATTTATGGAAACGGACTTGTGCTTTCTGTGAAACACTGTGCTATACCCTTTCTTTTGCACATATAACATGGGACCTCTGCTATGTACTAAATACAAGCAGGGTAAGGGATTATTACAGCCAAACAAAATGATGGAAGCAGCCAAAAATGGGAAAAGAAAGATTTTGGCATAAACGTGCGCACTTTGTCTATTCATTATTAAAGAGAGTATATGTACATGTAATTGTTTATTGAAATATTTTCATTGTACAAATTAAACCTGCCTTGAGGCGGGCTTCATTTATTTGCTGGCAAGTCACATGAATTTTTTCCTTCTTTATTTACTGAATAGTTCTTAAAAGGCAGCTAATTTCTTGACAGACCCTACATTATTCCTCTTGCTGCTCTCTTGCATTAGGTATGAGGTCAAAGCCCCAAACCTTACTGCCAGTATGTTAGTACAAACCCTTCCAGTAAGTCTGGACACAACAATATTCTGTGCCCAAGAAGCATCAGTGCCTGTGGTTATTTTTAGTGGGTCCTTGCAAATATTTTTTTGTAGTATTCAGTACTTTTACCAGTGTTCTGGAAGACATATAAAATCAACACTTTGAAACTTTAGTGATCATTGGAGCACAGTAAAGGCAAGGAGAAAAAATTTAGAGTAACAAAGCAACGCAAACAGTTTTCAGCTGCTTTCAATATATTATAATCAGTGTGCTGTAAAAGTGAGTTAAAATGCAGAAAGGACAGAGAGCATACATGGTGAAGCTATATTCACTCCAAGACAAATCATTTAAGAGAGCTGTGTTAGTATCTGTCAGATAGTGATCATTCTTTGGCAATAGGAGATTCCTCAGCTTAGCGAGACTTAAAGAGCTGGACAGTTACCCATCAGATGAAGTTTAACAAGAGCAGGTGCCAGATTTTGCACCTGGAATTTGTCAATTCTGGATATATGCACAGAGTGGGGAAAAAGAGGCTGGAGAGCAGCCCTGTGGAATGGGGATCTGGGAGCTGTGGTGACAGCAAGAGGAACATGAGCCAGCAGTGTGCCCTGGCAGCCCAAAGGGCAACCGTACCTGGGGTGCAGCAGGCCCTGCACTGCCAGCGGGTGAGGGGAGGGGCTCGCTGTGCTGTGCAGTCTCACCTACAGCACTGGGTGCCACAACAGAAGGACATAAAGCTATGAGGGAGCATCCAAAGGAGAGCTGCAAAGATGGTGAAATGTCTGGAAGGCAGAATGTGTGAGGAGCAGCTGTGGTCTCTTCATTTGCTCAGCTGAGAGAAGAGCAGACTGAGGGGAGGCCTCATGATGGCATCCCAAAATAGAATCTTTCAAATTCAGAAAAAAATGCGCCCTCTTTTTCTCTTTAATCTTCTGATGAGAATCATAAAATCACAAGGTTGGAAACGACCTATAAGATCATCTAGTCCAACCGTCTCCTCATCACCATTGCCACCACAAGCACTAAACCACATCATGCAGCACGTCATCCAGACGCCTCTTGAACACTGCCAGGGACGGCGACTCCACCACCTCCGTGGGCAGCCATTCCAGTGCCTGACCACTGTCTGAGAGAAAAAGTTCTTCCTTATGTCTAACCTAAACCTCCTCTGGTACAACTTGCGGCCATTACCCCATGTCCTGCTCGTTGCCTGGGAGAAGAGACCAAATCCCTCTTCACCACAGCCTCCCTTGAGGAAGTTGTAGAGTGCAGTGAGGTCTCCCCTGAGCCTCCTCTTCTCCAAACTAAACAATCCCAGCTCCCTCAGCCGCTCCTCATAGGACCTGTGCTCCAGACCCCTCACCAGTTTCGTTGCCCTTCTCTGGACACGCTCCAGGACCTCAACATCTTTCCTGTAGTGAGGCCCAAAACTGAACACAGTACTCGAGGTGCGGCCTCACCAGTGCTGAGTACAGGGGGTTGATCACCTCCCTGCTCCTGCTGGCCACACTGTTTCCAATGCATGCCAGGATGCCGTTGGCCCTCTTGGCCACCTGGGCACACTGTCGGCTCAAGTTCAGCTGAGCATCAACCAACACCCCCAGGTCCTTCTCTTCTTCACACTCATCCAGCCACTCATCCCCCAGCCTGTAACGCTGCATGGGGTTGTTGTGCCCAAAGTGCAGGACCCGGCACTTGGCCTTGTTGAACCTCATCCCATTCACCTCAGCCCAGCGGTCCAGCCTGTCTAAATCCCTCTGAAGGGCCGCCCTACCCTCAGGCAGATCAACACTACCTCCCAGCTTGGTGTCATCTGCAAACTTACTGAGGGTGCACTCAATCCCCTCATCTAGGTATCAGTAAAGGTATTAAACAAGATGGGCCTCAGTACCAACCCCTGGGGGACACCACCTGAAACGGGTCGCCAGCTGGACTTCACTCCATTCACCACGACCCACTGGGCACAGCCCTCTAGCCAGTTCCTTACCAAAAGAAGGGTAGACCTGTTCAGACCACAGGCAGCCAGTTTCCCCAGAAGAAGCCTGTGAGGGACCGTGTCAAAGGCTTTGCTGAAGTCTAGGAAGACTACATCAACAGCCCTTCCCTCATCTGGCAGACTGGTCACCCAGTCATAGAAGGAGATGAGGTTGGTCAAGCACGATCTGCCTTTCATGAACCCGTGCTGGCTGGGCCTGATCCCCTGGACACTGCGTACATGCTGTGCAATCTCATCCAAGATGATTTGCTCCATAACCTTCCCTGGTACTGAGGTCAGGCTGACAGGCCTGTAGTTCCCCGGATCCTCCTTATGGCCCTTCTTGAAGATGGGAGTCACATCAGCAAGCCTCCAATCCTCTGGGACCTCACCAGTTAACCAGGAACGCTGATAGATGGCTGAGAGGAGCTTGGCAATTACCCCCGCCAGCTCCCTCAGCACCCGAGGGTGCAGCCCATCCAGTCCCATGGACTTGTCACAGTCCAGATGGAGGAGGAACTCTCTGACTGTCTGCACCTGAATCACTGGGGGTATATTCGAAGCAGCATCCCAGACTTCCAGATCAGGGCATAAAAAGCCCAGAGGATAACTGGTCTGGCTATTAAGAAGAGCTGTAAACAGAACAGATGTAAAGAAGAACTGTACATTTCACAACCTGCTGCTTCAACATAGGTAAATGTAATCAAGAGGCTATGTTAAGACCAAACCTAATTACCATGTTTTCAAGCCAGGATATAATTTTTTATCCATCACTGCTTGAAATGTTATTTCAGACCTGAGTCTTTTGCACTTTTCGTGGAATTAATTTAGTGGTGAGTGTGGACAGGGAGGCGAAGTCTGAATATTTACATTTTGACAGCTTGGACTCACAACTTGAAAAAAAACACAACACAGAACTTACATAAAAGTACTTAAATACTTCAGGCTGAAAAACACTTATTTTCTTCTATCACTTAGATACTGAGAGCGTAAAATATTGGTCAGACAGTGAAGTGACATATCTGTAAAATAACTAGGCCAAGAAAAATAAGAAGGAAAGGCACATTGATATTCTACTATAGAGACTTTAAAAGCGTTTGTTTCCTCTTCACTGAGATGTATTCCATAAAGCTATGAAATGTACTCATGAGTAATAATTGACAAAATATAACCCTGTTCTGAAGTCAGAATTCTGAATACAGCTAGTTAGTTGAGAGATATAATAATAACTGGACGATTCATTTTCTGAGGAAAAGCAAAATCTATAGTAAAAGCTCCTTGATGAATATCAGTATAAGTTTTCCAAATAACTATATGGCCTAAGGTTTTTGTTTATGGTTTATATTGAGTTCCCCCGTACAGACTTTAATTAGACTTACAAGAGGAGGGAGTGCAAAAAATACTGTGTAAAATCTGGTTGAAAAAATTATGCTTTCTCAGTTTACAGTGCAACACAGATTGTACTTTCAATATTAAACTAAGCAAAGTCTTTCATGCCTACTTAGAGTTCCTGTTCACAGTGATACATTTTGTAAGACAGAGAAAATATGAAATGATGTATAAAACTAGATTTTTAATACTTTTAGGCAAATTGAAAGAGTGGTCCTTAGTACTGTATGGAACATCCATCCAGCCATATTCGCCAAGAAATGATTTTCCAAAAGTGGAAAGAGTACGCTCCAGCCCAGTTGAAGATCCTACAGAAGATTATGGAACAGAAGATTATTCAGGTGTGTACATTAATTTAGTCCGTGCATTTACTGCCCTGAGACTCTGCATATATAAAATGTTGGACTTTGTATTGTCAAAATATGGTCATACATTGTGAAGACTCCTGGCTTGCTTACTTAGTATCTGTTTTCTTCCATGCTTTGTGTCTCCTAGATCTTTTGCATTAGTTCAAGACTAGGATTCTGATGCCACTGTAGGATTTGTGGCCTTCAGTGCCTGGGAATTAGGCAGTACTGAAAGTTTCCAGAAACAAAAACAAAAATAGCCAAACAGAAATATGTTTAATAAACTGAGCTTTTCATAAATTTCCTCTGACTAGAACAGTAAGGTTGTATTTATATTTCATCTGATTAGTTAGAAGTGCAGCGGCAAAATTGATAACAATTATGCAGGATTCATGATATTTGTAAGTGGAAAAATCAACGTACTGAAGCTAGAACACAGTGTTGACAGAATGACTTTGCAAAAACAGTTTCATAAGGATATTCTGGGTTTGGAAGTAGTGGGACTTCAGAACAATTTGTTTCATAACATATGAGTTTTTAGACAGTTTCGTATTTTTAAGCTATGGTTAACATTCTATGTAGAATGCACTACTTTTCATAAATAATATATGTGTGCACAAACGTATTTGTGAAGAATATTATTTTCTACATCTACGTACGTTGTTTCTTGTTTATCCCCATAGAAGTTTTTCAGTGTTTTCATTAGGCTTCAAAAGCGTTAGATTTTTTGTGCTGCAGAATAAGTCAAGCTGGCAGTATTCCTACATGTATTCTGACAGTGTCAGTACCTTTACCTAGGTGTTCAGTGCTGATGAATCTTAAGCATAACTCCTGCAAGCTAACAGCACAGTGTTCAATTCAGAAGTTTGTTATTACAGTCTCCTGTCATAGTGTGTCAGATACGCAGTCCCTATTTTTGCTGGAGAGTTGTTCAACCCCTTGTTTTGATAGATGACGAAACACTGCTGTCTCTGCTGTAAAGGTCACTAAGCTTCTGTTGTATGAACTTACTTTCATTCAAGTTTACTTGATATTAAGAGCCACGTAAAGGTGCCTGGAAAGCTTAGAAGTTTCATTTACTATGGAGCAATGATCCTGACACAGTTGAGAGTTCTCACATATCCTTGTACCCTACATAAAGGCAGGAAATGATGGCTCTCTCATTCCCTAGCTGCTTGGAACTGTTTGGAAAATGTAAACATGACTCTGGATGAGATGAAGGACTTGCTAATAAGCAAAAGTTAGTCGAGGCTTTTGCAGCATATAGCAGCACAGAGGGAGGTGAGTCTGGCCACTGGGGGCTGGATCACTTCTGCTGTGGTAGCCACTTGGACCACCTGCCCCTTTGTTGACTAGAATAGCTGGTGATTATGTTGGCCTGCTTGTGATAAGCAGCATTGCTGATCATTTCATATTATGAATTTCAGAAGCCTTTGCATGTTTCTAGATAAAATTTAGATTGATTTGTTAGTCGTTAGAAAGTAGGCTGTTTGGATTCAGAAATAGTATCTGATAGATTACACAGAAGATGCCATGGCTGTTAAAAATTATGTATCAATATGGACACATACTGAGGCCAGAGTCTGCAAAGATCTTCAAATATTAAAAAATTTCTCCTTTCACTGTGGTCAAATTACAGTTTGGACATAAGCTCAAATACACAAAAACACAGTAATAGTATTCTGTGTTAAAATAGTATATTTTGAGGGGTGCTAAGTACCAAAGGAGAAGTTTTAATTCCTTTCCTGTATTTTGCTTTTCATACAGGTCCGTGCAATGCAGAATGCAGTAAAGTAGGGTGTGATGGGCCAGGACCAGATCATTGTACTGACTGTCTTCACTACTACTACAAATCCAAGAACAACACACGGTAAGACCAAAATTTAAAAAAATCTTTGCTTCATAGATTCCTTAGTGTGTATCTTAACTTCCTTTTCTCTTCTCTTTGCTGCAGTCATGGATTATTTATTTTCCTCGAATTTTGACAAATTTTCTTAGGAGTTAAAAAAAACCCAACTGTTTCAGAATTTCAAGTACAGCACTCAAACACACTTCCCTGATTATTTCCTCATTTTTTTTGTGAGAGGTTATTTGTGTGTAACTGTGATAGCAACTACAACTTCAGTGACTGTATTTGAATAAGATAGGAAAAGATGTAGATGGTCAAAAATTGTACAGTGTGACTGTCGAGGTGTTTGCCAGTGAGATAGCATGTGCTGTAGGAAAAAAAAAAGAAAAGCAGAAACAGCCTGATGCAATGCTGTGGAGGGTTACATGATCATTAGAAAACACTTGATCATTACAAAAGCAGCAATGCTGAGAAATACTTCTGCTTTGCAGTCATGGTCCAGGAATGTGGTGGCAGGTTATTTCATTAACGACTCTGCCTTCTCTTCCCTGCTGTCTGCAGGATCTGTGTTTCGACCTGCCCACCTGGTCACTACAATGCAGACAAGAAACGCTGTAAAAAATGCTCACCCAATTGTGAAACCTGTGTTGGAGGCCATAGTGACCAGTGCATGACCTGTAAATCTGGCTACTACCTGAATGAAGTAACCAATAGCTGTATTACCACCTGCCCCGATGGGTTTTACCTGGATAAGAGTTAGTATTACTTACTGTTTCTTTATTTTGGGCTACAGAATTTGATCTGGGGAGGCTGATGGAATACTGATAAGCAGGAAAAGTATGTTGAATGCATCTATCTCTTATCCTACTCCTCTTATTACATTGTTGCTAAGTGTGATCAAGAATCTACTCAGAAATTAACCTTTCTTCATTTTAAAAATCATGCTTAGAGGCAGGATTTCATTTGTGGTTGTGAATGGGAGTAACCAGCAGAATTTATGTAGTCCGCAGTCAGCTGCAGGACAGAGCAGGTTACTGCCGCTCCAGAAGGGAAAGTCCAGATTGTGAGCACGAAGCATTCCAATTCCCCAGTCTCCCATGCTGTGAGAATGCTGTAGAAGAGGCAGCTGAGAAACTGACCATGGTTGCTGAACTGGATCTCTGAGAAAATTAGGCTCCTCAGGTGGAAAAGGTGGTTGCAGTTAATGTTTCAGGCAGGTTTCTGACCTGTGATGATAACTCAAGAGCAGTAATTCTCTGCCACATGAGATGCAGGGCTTCCATTTCCTCCTGAGATTGCCCACTTTATTTCCAACTTTGTGTAACAAAAATGGACTTATATTAAAACATATGCTTAAACTACATGGACTTCAGTTAGCTTTAGACACGTGCTTAAAATACAAACATGTGCTCAAAGCGCTTGATTCAACTGCAAGACCTGAGCGAGGGTTGCTCCGAAAGTAATGCCTCCTTTTCTGTTATGTTGACCTACAATGTCAGAGGCAGAAGATGTTGGTAGTCTGAACATTCCCACCAATATTCCATTACATTTTGTTGTTGTGAGACAGATGGCAATAGAGGGGCAGTCTGACAAAATGGCATCTGACACAGAACTGAGAATGAAGCAAAAGGGTAGAATTGAATTTCTCCATGCAGAAAAAGTTACACCAACTGACATTTATCGATACTTGCTGAATGTTTATAGAAACTGAACAGTAGATGTGAGCACAGTGAGGTGGTGGGTGGTGCATTTCAGCAGTGGCAACAGCAATGTGAAAGACAGGCGACGTTCTGGATAGCCAAGCATCCATGCCATGAAATGAAGAGCATCTCGACGAGCTCATCTGTATGAATCAGCTAATGGTAGAGACTGTGTTGAAAAATACTATTTTGTAGCTGAGAATTTTCTCTATCAAATAGTGTTATTTGCTCTTTGTATCTGTTGTAGTTTCCATGGAAATAAATAGGAGGCATTACTTTCGGAGTGATCTACCTAACCTTTTACTCTCTGTGCCATGAAGCTGTCTGTTCATTTTTGAGGATTAGTAAATTCAGGTACTACTCTAATTTTTCCATTTGCCAGTGTATGAGAACTACAGTGAAGGGATTTCCCTTCCACCCAACCAAGATGTGTAAATGAAAATTTACAAAAATGGGACCACAAGGTTTTTCTTCTCAGAGAGTTACATGGCACCACATCTCAGAGACTTCTCTTGAAGTAGGGAGCTCATGAGATGAGAAGGCAGATGTTAGGTAAATTATGTCTCATCTTTGTTAAGATCGAAATTGTTTCTTTGAACAGCAATACATATAAGATAGGACAGACTATTTGCATGTAAGGTGTAAAATGTAAATTGCAGGATAATTCCTGGAACATATGGCAGCCATTAGTTCTTGACCTGCTGTATGAAAAGCCAGTGTAAGTCCATATTGTAAATAGTTTAAATATAAAGCGTTTACAAAGATTTTTGAACAACCTCAGAACATGATATTTCTGCAGAGGCTTCAGATATAATATGATGAAGATAGTGTTTATGGATAGATCTGCTGAAGGAAAAACCTAATGACAGAATTTAGACATTTTCGTCTGTCTTTCTGGTTTCAAGCTAGAAAACTGTAAGACACATAATAATATCTCCAGATAGTTTTATAAAATATAACTGACCAAGGTTTTCTGGGCTGTTTTCTTTTTTTCTTTGTAGATAAGATTGTTTGCCGAAAATGCAGTGAAAACTGTAAGACATGCATTGAATTCCAAATCTGCACAGAATGCAAACATGGGCTAAGGTAAGGAAAAGACAGCCGTCTCTAAAAGCAGTACCAAAGAGGCTAATGAGACTGGATGTACAGTGAAGAATACTAGATAGCTATTCAACCTTGAATTGCCACCGTTTCATGTTTTCCATTGATGTTTAGGTTTTAATATAGTATTTTATTGTGCCAGTTTGGCCAACAAAGGGTTTTTAAAAGACCTTTCATTTCAGGTATAGTGAAAGCCAAACTTATGTGGAAAACTGACTTCTGCACTTCTTTGACCTCCAGTGTGGCACTCAAGGATTATTTTAGAGGTTGAGCTGATGAGTCATATTAATCTCTGATTCATTCCTGTGATAGTTAGGAACTATTTTCTTATCTTTATTGTGTTTCTTCATACATCAGTCATTCACTTATCTCAAGTACCTCAGGCTCCTTTCTGTTATGATACAGTGTGCACATTATTTTAAGCAGCAGTGGATATTTTTATTTCATAGGAGGACTTAATCATTCCTGAAACTGATAGGTAAGGCCCACAAAGCATCAATATGTATTCCAGGCTCCTTTATGAATGAATGACCTTTTTGATATAAGCAGCTAAGGTCAAAAATCTTAAAAAGTCTGTGAAGGAGTGTATGCTGGCTTCATGCCATAAAAAATATCAACTTGGTATTCAGTAACTGTAGGGGTTCTTCTTTCAGAGTACAGTGTTCTGCAAATGTTTTGACATTGAGCTTTTACTTTTTGTCTAAGTGGAATTTTTTATTTCAGACAGTAAAAGCTTAAAGGTGTTTGTTTACAGAACATGAAGAGCTAGATTCTCACATTTTGTAAAGGATTTTTCATATCAATATATTGCATTTCTATTTTTCAAGTGCCTGCACAGTTTTTATTACAAATACATATTTTCTTTAAAAAAAAAAAATAATAATTAAAAAACAAGAAAAGAGACCCTTTGAAGAGGAAGTGTGATCTAATGGGAAGGAAAGCATAGGATTGAATGTGGTCTGTTTACAGTTTCTGTGAAATATGAGTATCTGCTTTCCTTTTAAAATGTAATTAAATTTTCAATCCCAGTTAGAGATTTGGAGAATTTTAACATACTCAGCATGGCTTTCTATGTATCTGTGAAATCAATTTAACAGGGTAGCAGTTCAGAAGTTCCAACAGTTGGCATATATGTCAGAATACCCAAGACTGCATATTTGTGACCTTATAGGACACAGTCTCTGTCACAGCTATGTCCACATTTCCTGTATTTCTCAGGAGCATGAACCTGACCACTGGAGAAAGACAAGTGTAATCTGTGAGAAAAAGAAGGAGAAACAAATGTCTAAAAAGTCACTTATATCTAACGTTTACTTGGATAATATTAGCCAGCTGAGACTGGTTTTTGGTAATGTTTTCAAGGAACATCATCTGCATGGATATGACAAATCAGAAATCAGTATCATCTCCAGGACATGCATTTTGCATTCCCTGGTGATCCAAAGATTAGCGCATTTTCTTGTCAAGAAAATGCATTTTCTGGTCTTGTTAGATCAGTAGACAGGAGTTTGGGTGGGACTCGGGAGGCCTGTATCCAAGTTCTGATCCTGCTACTGGCCTATTAACTAAACTCAAGCAAATGACTAATTCTCCCATTTGTAAAAGCATGATAATGCTACCTGACTCATAAAGCACTTTGAGGTTGTTGCTGAGCAAAAGTAGGTACTCTCACATCTGTTGAATTTTTCTTTTTTTTTTTGCTAACCTGGGACCGTATCTACTCTTCAGAATTCCCAGTGGTGCTGAGCATGCAAAACTTTGTTGGTTTCAGTTTGCAAAACAGCATTAGCTCTCGCTTTATGCGATAATCCCTGTAGCTGAAGAGCATTTTTTGAGAAAGAGTTCAGTCAGGTGAAAGCTGAGATTCTATTTAAGATGGTAGGCATGGCAGAGAAGTCCTAACTTTAAAAAAAAAAAAAAAAAAGCCCTACTATTTAAAAATGAAAGCATGAACGCTGCTTAGAGCATAGGTATGGAGATGTGTCTCTTTATGCTATTCCTTTTTCCTCTGTTAGTCAGTACCTTACGCTCCTGCTCAAAAGTGCCTGCGGGCAGAATACCTTTAGCTGTAATCTAGACAAATCTCCCACACCATGCAGAATTGGAGATTTCAAAGAAAACTGCTGTGTCAGAAAAGGGTGGCAGCTTCCTTACTTGTCAGTCTGCTCTTGACCTGTGCTGTAGAGCAGTATCAGGAAATGCTGCTGATCTTTCACATGAAGCATGAGGTCCTGTGTATTTTTTTAAATGCAGTGGTGTTGACCCTGTGCCAAATTCCTCATGGGTAATTGTATTTTGCATGCCTGAATTTTTAGGATAATGACATTGTTCATTTTTTTCTGTCCTCTCCTACTTGTATTTACAATAGTTTGTAAACAGCTCCTGTTTTTCACTATAGATGAAAATGTATTTAATTCCCTCTTGAAGTCATTTGCTGTCATTTGTAAAATATGACCTACGAAGGAAGCCAGTGAATCCTGATCTACGAGTTGCTGTTTTTTTAAAGGGAACTACTGATTTGTGAATGAGCTTGTATGTTGTTGCTGTTATCTACCTGACCACTGTGCTTTTTTTCCTTTTTATAATAGTTTGCATGGCACAAAATGTGCTATCCGCTGTGAAGATGGAAAATACCATAATGGCAGGGAATGTGAACCATGTCACCGTTCATGTGCAACATGTGCAGGTATCTCACTGACATTTATTTGCATTATTTCCTTTACTCTCTATTTTTAGCTCTTATATTATTTTACTGTATCATAATGTGACTGCTGACATGTAATCTCTGAATTCTTTTGATAGTTATCTAACATATTATATGTATGGCCAAACTCTGTTAGCTAATATAAAAATATAATTGAAAGTGTGAATGCTCTTTTTTTTTTTTTCCTTTTATAATGCTCTTTCTAATTTCCTGCAATGCCTTCCATTTTCTTTCTGGATTGTAAGAACGATTTGTAAATTCTGTGGCACTTGCAGAACTACCAACACCTATTTCTTTCAGAAAAAAGATAGTGAAACTATGCAATATGGTTTCTTATAAATGTACACCTTTATAATTTGATGTTACTCTTTGAAAGAAGGTAAGTAAGGCTAAATATTGTCTCTAAAATGGCAGTAAGATTTTGCTACAGCTAGAGATATGGTGTTTGTTAGGCAGTAGGTAGGGGGAACTAGCCAATAATAGAGTGTATATTCTCTCTGTTTTAAGGTGGTGGAGTAGATGCATGCATAAACTGCACACAGGGCTATTTTATGGAAGATGGAAGGTGTGTGCAATCCTGCAGTACTGGTTACTACCTTGATCACTCTACTGAAAGTGGATACAAAAGCTGCAAAAGGTATGATCCGTGGTAATATACGTTTCTAATAACTAGCAGTATGTTAGGAATTCCTGTGTTGAGAAAGATAATATTTATGAAAAGAGAAAAAAAAAAAAAAAAAGAAATATGCCAAACAAATGAAGTAAGAAGTGGTTTTTTTAATTTTGAATTACATTAAATGGAAATTCTGAAAGTGTTTTTCTTCCGCACATATGTCTTTGACTTTAAAGAGCCTGTAGTGAGAGCCTGTAAGTAAGCATAGAAATGCAGAATATACAAATCTGGCAGAGGATCTGTTTCTCAATAACAAATCAAAAAAAGGCAAAGTGGAATCTTTTTAATAGTAAGTTAATTATTGTTCATGAGGACCATTTCAGTTCTTCAGCTGCAGACAGAAACACGGTGTAGATATATTACAAGATTTGCTGTCCAGCATAGCTCATCTGCATGTACCAGTGGGTGAATGAGCCCTCAAAAAGACTTTGCTGAGCAAAGGAGGGAAGTAATTTTTTATTCCTTCCTTTGTTAAATAAATACCACTTGCCCTTTGGAATAATTCATTATCGACTCACGCTGAATTCAAGGCAGGAAGGGAATCACAGAATCAAAGAGTCATTTGAGTTGGAAGGAACCTCTAAAGGTAATCTAATCCAACTCACCGACAGTGAACAAGGGCACCTACAGCTCAGTCAGATTGCTCAGAGCCCCATCCAGCCTGACCTGGAATGTCTTCAAGGCTGGAGTATCCACTACTTCTCTGGGCAGTCTGCACAGGTGCCTCACCACTCTTATAATAAAGAAACTTTTTCCTTATATCCAATCTAAATCTCCCCTCTTTTAGCTTGAAACTATTTTCCCTCATCCTTTCACAGCAGGCACTACTCGAAAGTCTGTCTTCTGCATTGTTACAATTCTCCTTAAGATATTGAAAGGCCAATATCAGGTCATCCCAGAGCCTTCTCCAGGCTGAACAGCCCCAACTTGCAATGTGTTACGGTTTTCCAGTTTTGCACTCAAAAATAAATAAATGAATAAATGAAATGAAATAAAATAAAATAGATGAATATACAGTCGAAATCTAATGAAGTCAGAAAGGTGATGAAATCACCAGGCACAGGTCAATCTTTTCCATCACATGGCTTTGAGCCCATCCCTTAATGGCACATGGATGCACTGTCTGTTTAATACATGTTTATTACTTCTATGTAGTTCCAAAGAACTATATATATGCAGTTATTTACTAAAAAAATATATTCACAAAGAGTGATTGGAGGAAAAAAAGCAGGACTGAGTTGTAGGGGAGGTTACATTTTAAATTATTGTCATTGCTAGAGGAGCTGATACCTCTGGAAACAGCAAACAAGCCCTTTACAGTTCAGAAGGTTTCTCCTGGGTGCTCTCGCATTTGGTGAGGCCATAAGGCCAAACCCAACCACTGTCTTTCAGATGTGATGCCAGCTGTTTGGATTGCAGTGGTCAAGGAGACAGAAACTGTACCATCTGCCCAAGTGGTTATAACCTAGACTCTGGTGTCTGCGTAGTGGGAACAGTCTGCAAGGATGGTGAGTGCAGTTTCCTGAAAAGATCTTTTTTACCCCTTCTGGCAGTTTTTCTTACATGTATTAGTTTGGTTTGGTTTCTTTTCTTTTGTTATATTCTCTATTTTAGGGCTACATTACTTCGTACCTTTTTCAGATTTATGAAAAGGAGAAAACGACACAAGTAGTGTATTAATGGAATTAGTCACATATACAACTGCATTTTCCTAAAATAGTTTCCCCCCTACCTGCAGCAGCCTACTTTTGCTTCCTTACCTGTTTTTCAAAAATCATTGCTTTGAAAAGATTTTTATAAGAGGACCCTAGTGTATTGTCAGTAGAATTGCGTGTATGTGTTTCACCACTTTAAACCGTGGAAATGCTGGTAAGTAAAAAGGATGTTCAGTAATTGCAGTATTACTTGAATTACGTGAGAAGGTAATGAGGAAAGAAAAGAATAGAGGGCACTCAATTTGTTATGGAGACTTAAACTTCCTCCAGGTACTCTGAGTCAACAAAGATATCATTCATATTGCATATGATTGGCTTCATTATTCACTAATATTCATTCCTTTCACGAATCTCAATTACAGAGACTTTGAGATAATGTTACTCTTCTATGAAAATGTTACTATGTTAATTACTTGTAGATAACAGCTCAAGAATTGCTGTCCAAGAGGAAGATCATACTGAAATAAAGCCCTGCATTAAGCAGTATGAAAGATTCCCACTATAAAATACAATCTTACATGCCTATATGTGTACATCAGTTTGGTCTTCATTATGGTAGGGCTGATTAGTTGTCCACACGCAGCTTCATCTAGGTATACATGCAGTTGCCCAGAACTGAGGACACTTCTCCTCTGTCTCATCTGCCCTGTTCTTGAGAGTGCAGTTGCAGAGCAGCACATGGACCATGAGGCAATTGCAGTGGCATGCAATGGGATCCTACTGCATGGCATGTTCCCTCAACAGTGTAGGTTAGCCAAGGAAGGGACAGAAGTCTTTCCTCTGTTAAGTTACCGAGTGTGGAGGCTCTCATTCCACCACCTGACAGTCAAACACTGGGTATGTGTTACTATGTAGGATTTGAATATCTGTTGAGAATGTTTATTCCTTTTTCATGGTTTGTCTATTTTATTCTTTTGATTCATGAAAATCAAGAACAAATTCCTTTGCTGTAAGTATCACTGTTTTCTAATTATTCTCTTTCTAATCTTTTTTTCTTTTTCACAAATGGATACCAATCATTCCCTGTCGGACCACACAAAATCTCTTCCTGAAAAATAAAATGCTGTTGACTGAAATTCCTTCTGATGGACCAAATTTCCTACTTGCTACCTGCTCCTGAATGGTCTCTTCAACCAAATCTACCTATCTGACCAATTAAACCTCCCTCCATGGTAAAAACCATGCTCTCCAAACCTTCAACTTCCCCTTCTTCTCTTGCTGCTGCCCTCCGGAAGCCACGGAAGAGTCCTGGGCCGAGGGAGGATTCTGTATGCTGGTGAAAAAGAACAATCTCTGCCAGCGGAAAGTGCTCCAGCAACTGTGTTGCAGAACATGTACGCACAAGGGGTGAACTCACACCTCCCAGAGTCCTCCTGCTCCTGTAGACTTATAGATTAACACGTATTATTGAAAAGGAAAAAAAAAAAAGCCACCTCTCTCTCTCTCCCCCCTGTTTGTCTGGGGAGATGGTGAACTGTTTGTTGGAACTTAGATGGAAAACCTACAACACGCCTACCTTTCATAACTGGGTGTTTAGAGCTGAGCATCCAGAATCACAGAGTCAGTATTGTGTGACCAAAGCATTTGATGCCAAAATTAATGTTTAATTCATGATTTGATTTCCTGTCAACTTTAGGATTATTTCTGTTTTTTGAAGGTCTTTATCTTTCCCTTTTTTTCCTGTTTGTTTCCCCCTCAGGATATTCAAAGAGTGTTTCAAGAATACACACACGTTTACACGGATTAAAACTAAACAATACAAAAAAGTTTGCATTAGTCTTTTTTGTGAATTGATGGGGAACTTCAGGAAATGAGTCCCTAAGGGAATCAGAAACATTGTCATCTGCAGGACCAAGTTCTGTCCTTTTTGTACCAGTATTTAAAAAAGAAAAATGATCATTTCTGCACACAATTCTTTCCTACTTCCTCTGCTGTGTGCTGTTTTTTTGTATCACATGCAGTGTGTATATATGTTTTGCCCAAAGTGTTTTTTTTTTTTTTTGTCATATAGATCTCATTTTTAGACAGCTAGCTTATTAACAGATACGCTAGGATTTTTATTTTATTTTTTTAAATTGTAAAAGCTATTTCAAATAAACTGAAAAAAAATTAAAAAAAAAAACACAAAAACATTGTTCCTGTTGTGAACAAGTTTAGAAGATACTACTCTTGGTTTGCATAAGCAAGAGTAATGTATACGTGGAAATTGAAAAGTTGCTAACATGTAAGGAGTATTCATAAATTATTGTTGTCTTGTAACGTTCACCAAAAAGGGGATATTATCATGCAAGTATGTGGGGATATTTTATAGTGCCCATACAGAAATGCCAGTGTGACTGTATGTGACAGAATGTGTTTACAGGACTGGATTTATAATTGAGCTTGTAACACTGTGCCAAATACATCTCCAGGAGTATTAACATATAGGGCAATAAATCAACTGTTTTCTTGATATAACAATCTTGTCTTGATGGGCCTGAATCTGCTTTTAACTGCTCCTAATACAAGTTTCAGCAGGAACAATGCTGTTGAGGCCTATGAAGTTACCTCACTGCAAAACCACCCTGGAGTGGTGAGAGAGGCAGGTCTCTGTCTTGTCTCTATACCCAGGTACACAGTTGTTTGATATATATTCATCAGTTTCACCTAGCATGCTGTTTGGAAACCATTCATTTTAGCAGAAAACAGTAAACTGAACTGCAAAGAAGTTTTGTGGGACAAATACTTAAAACGTGCAAAGTCACTCTGTTATTGCTCTAGGACACACAAGTAGAAAATGTATTGCAGGTGTTTAAGCACGTAAATGTTAGAAAACAAAGAGAACCTCCTTTTTAAATATAAAAATTACCTATGCCCACTTTGCTAGAGAGCAGATAGATATTACAACCCATGTCTGGTTCTGTAGACGAGGCCTGTGAAGCTCCTCTGGTGCCCATTACAGATTTCTTGCTAAACATGAAAAGTTATGAGAATTTAATTTGTGCTAGTTTAACTACTAGTCTGTTTCTGCCTCATTTCTCAATATAACAATTTTAACTAGAACATAATGCTTTCAAAGTTTAAGTTAATATTATATATATATTATATAAATATATATTCATAATTGAGATTTAATTATGTAATAGATTGTAAAGAGTTTGTTTGGGTACTTACAAATGCCTCTAACACTATTATAGAGAAAAACTTAATATCTTTGTTTTCTTTAAAAAAAAAAAAAAAAAAAAAAAAAACCTGACACGTTGTTAATCCAAATTCATTTTTAGTGAAAAAATACTGTACATGTGTAAAATGTTCAGTTGTTATTTGTAAAATAGGGTAGTTTTGTTGTAATTGATATTGGCCAAAATCAATGTTATTCCATATTTTATTTTTTCTATTAAATTAACCTAACTTCTTGTTCCTTTGGTCTGGAAAAACATGTTGATAATCTATATGTAAAATATCTCTGTTGAAGGGCACAGGTAGCTTTATGATATAGATTCTATATGCAAGTCATTGAAACAAACTGGAAGGGTAGAGATGTTTAACTTTGTGTGTGTGTGTGTGTATGTGTGTGTGGATTTAAGTGATGGAATTGACAATGAAATTGATGTAATCAGAAATGGTTTCTGTGGAGGACACCTTTTGTGTACTAGCAGTACAGCTATGTCTGCACCCTGGTGAGCAATGGTGCTGGCTTTCTTCCACCCAGGAGAGCTTTTCTCTTGCAAGCTTAATGAAAAAGTTGCATGCATAAATACATTTTTACTTAGACAGTTGAAGAGGGGGTTGGTGGTTTTTCAGTCGTTCCTGGACATTTGCACAGTGCAGTACTGTTCACGTGCTGGTGCTCATATTCAGTACACCTCAGGTCACAATCCTGGACAGCCACTTAAAAACAGCAGGCTGTTTCTCATTCCCATTAAATGGAGAAGACCACATATACACTCAGCTGTGGTGATTGCAGGATCAGAGCTTCCACTGGCATTAGTTGATGCTTTCATTCATTTCCCACTTAGTCCCCAGCCTGAACGGAGGCCAAAGTGGCAACTCATTCACACAGCTTGTATATTCAGATGAAGCTTAAAGCTTGTTCACTGAAGCTGTGTAAAGAAGTTCCTGGAAGAAAAAAAACGCTTTTCAGTCATCGGCTTTCAGCCTCAAATGTTTCATTGTCACCACCTGTGTTTCAAAATGAGGAGTTAGGTCATCAGTCCCCAGTTTTCCTGTCAGTTCTTCAAGCAAGTGTATAGAGGACAGCACATGCTCAGCAATAGTTTCATTAAGCCACACCATGGAAAAAGGTTAGCCTAATCCTTACACCTATACTCTACAAAGAACTGCTTCTTTCAGGTCCCACCCCACCATCATTTTTTAACTGGCTTGAGAAATTCTGTCAATTATACTGATTTCTATGGTTTCATCTATGGTTTCCTTGGGTGAAGGATAATAATTTCACTACAGCTCTGGCTCTAGTTTGCCCTAGAGGGTGCATCTGTAAATGTTGGGCTGTAAAGTCTCATGGAGAAGCAAGCCTACAATGGAGTTTTTGATTGAAAACCAAGACTTCCTGCTGTCTGCTGTCAGATTCTCTGAAGATTGTTGCTTGCTGATGCCTTGACAGTGGTGGCCAGATATAAGCAGAATTAGCAGACAGCACTGTATTTAGTCCTTCTATCAGCAGTGGGATTGCAATTGAAGGATGCTAGTTTGTTTCCCAGTGCAGAATGGTTGTGATCCTCCCTTTCTGATAAAGTGTCAAAGCTGTTTGAAGTATTCAGTATTTTATACCTTGTTGTCAGCATGCAAAACAGATACAGAGCACTTTAGAAAGACCAGAAGCTACTGAACTTGCAGAAAATGATTCTTTTCTTCCTGTATGGAAGGACTGTGGTTGATGTCAGTCCAAATCTGTTCGTTCATCAGTTACTGCCTTGCTTGTAAGTAAAAAAAAAAAAAAAAAAAGAAAATTTTACAGACACTCTCTTAGTTAAGGCATATCACTTCCATGGTAAGCTATCTATCTTCATATCTGTTTAGGAGAATCTTTACGCAGTCATTGAATTAAATGCAAACTGAACAGCCAGCTAGACTACATGCCTGCTATAAGTCTTCAGAGTGTGACAATGCGGACCATAGAAAATTTCCTACTTCAACTAACATTATTTGTAACCAGAAAGAAGGTTAGTGTGCCTAGACAATGATACCATCTGCAGAAGCCTGTTGTGTGAATGCACAGTTTTGTAAGTGGAGGATGCATTTCTGTAATCAGGCCTTACTGCTTTTCTACCTACCTGCTGCTATCCACCTCAACCATATCCCTAGGTGGCGTATGGCTGAGATCAGCAAACTAGAGACACACCAAATTCTGTCAGTGGAAACCAGTGGAAGCCACACACTCCTGCCCAGTAGCTCTTGTGGCCCTTGGCTTACTCTCTGCCTACCTGCACACACTGGTACATCCTGTCTTTTTCTGGGAAGCTTTGCAGCTACATCCATGCAGCAAACACAGTATTGTACTAAAATCTTCCCTATGAGACCTGAAAAATTATCACTGTTCCTATTTGGACTGGAAGTTTCCAATGTCCTCAGAAATTCTGAGCAACATCTCGTATTGAATATGTAGTACAATATCAAGGCTGCTGTTTGTTCCACCTTGAGACATTTTAAGAGTTATTACACTATGATCCTTTGAGTAAATCTGTATGAAGAGATACTATAGCTGTAATGACTAAATAGATCTTGCAGCCAGTGATGAACAAGTTAATCCTTTTAGCAGCCACACCACAAACAACCTGAATATTACCTGTATCAGTGTCCACTTTAGGTAACTATGTGCTACTTTTAAAGACTTCTTTTTAATGGATTGGATGACTGTAACAAGACCTGTTATAAATTCAAGATTCCTGTAAAGACATTTAAGTGACAGCTTGTATGACTCAGTGTTTTCAATCTGTAGTGCAATTCACAGAACAGTAAATTGTCTTTGATCCATTGCCATGCCTTATATTTATATTGCATATGCCATTGTCATGTCATTGGTAAAGAACAAATCAAGAAAAGTTCTGTTATTAAATGTTTGTGCAAAATATTTTAAGCGAGCATTAAAAAAGTTTTCCAACATACAAATAAATGTCCTAGTCAAATTTGCATCAGAAAGAAACACCCCAGCAAGAACTTGCATGAAATTTTTCAGAATCTGCGGTTTCAATATTTAAAAACAGAAGGTTGAGAAAGAATTTTGATGAACAAGTTGTTTAAGAGAGGGAAAAAGTTATTCGCTTGGCATAATTTTTTATTGTCTTAAATCGTTACGGGAGATTCTAGCTTTGATTAAACTGATTATCTGATCATG